GTTGGGGGGGGGTCGCCCCCCCGGAGAAGGTTTGTTGCCCCCCGAGAGGGTTTGTTGCCCCCCGGAGGAAGTTTGTTGCCCCCCAGGGGGGGATTATTGCCCCCACAGATGAGTCAGGCTGGGTTTGGGTTAGGGGGGAGTCGGGGGGGCCGAGTTGCCCCCCCGAGGGGGTTTGTTGTCACCCGGGGGGAATTATTACCCCTTGGGTCAGGCCGGATTTGGGTTTGGGGGGGGCAGGGGGGGTTGGCCTTGGAGTAGGGTTGCCCTCCTGGGGGGGTTTGTTGCCCCCTGGGGGGGGATTATTGCCCCTAGAGATGGGTCAGGCCAGGTTTGAATCAGGGGGGAGTTAGGGGGGGCTGTGGGCCTTGGAGGGGGTTTGTTGTAATCTGAGGTGGTTTGTTGCCCCCCAGGGGGGAATTATTGCCCCTAGAGATGGGTCAGGCTGGGTTTGGGTTAGGGGGGAGTCGGGGGGGCTGTGGGCCTTGGAGTGGGGTTGCCCCCCCCCTGAGGGGGTTTGTTGTAATCTGAGGAGGTTTGTTGCCCCCTGAGAAGGTTTTTTGCCCCCCAGGGGGAATTATTGCCCCTAGAGATGGGTCAGGCTGGATTTGGGTTAGGGGGGAGTCGGGGGGGCTGTGGGTCTTGGAGTGGGGTTGCCCCCCCCCTGAGGGGGTTTGTTGTAATCTGTGGTGGGTTGTTGCCCCCCAGGGGGGAATTATTGCCCCTAGAGATGGGTCAGGCCAGGTTTGAATCAGGGGGAAGTTAGGGGGCTGCTGTGAGCCTTGGAGTAGGGTTGCCTCCCTGGGGGGGTCTGTTGCCCCCCTGGGGGGGCCTGGGGTGATGGATGTTGTTGCCCCCAGAGATGGGTCAGTCCTTGGGGGAAGTGGGGCCATGTTGTCCCCAGGGGTGGCCCTCAGCAAGGCAAGGGGGACAGGATGGGATTGCCCTTTGTGGGGGGGTCCCAGCCAGAGAGCGAGGGGCACTGTGCCCCCCCCTCTAGGGGCTATGGGCTGCTCTGGGGAGGGG